AATTGGCTGTGACAGTTACTGTTGTTTTTGTTGGCGCCTAAAAGTGAGTTTTGCTTTCCTTCATTCCTTGTTGCTCGTCGATTCCTTGTACATCTGTTGGTAGTCGTGGTTGGTGGAGGGAGGTTTGTGGGATTGGGCCGGATATCAGCTTCAACGACGCTTCATACGCATTGCGCCCACCACCATCGACAATTTTCTACTTGAGAATATGACCGACTCCATGGATCTTTGAATGTGCTTTGGTTCGAAGATTCCATGCTATATTCGACTTTTGAGCAGTACTCAGTTCCTCCCGTCGCATCTGTTCGTCTGTTCCGATCATCCGCGAAGCGACCATATCGATAAGCAGCACCGAAGGAGTCAGCAGCGCAACGAGTCTCCTTGCCGACTTCTGAAACGATACCTGCAATGCGTCGCATACCAAGCTTTCGATGCCTGATAATTGGGTGTTGATCGTCTACCGACTTCATATGCTTAGTTACGCCAGCTCCTGGTGACTAAGGCGCAAGCTATTGTCATTTTGAACGACTCGTCACCACCGGAATCAGGGATGCTGAAATCCTGGAACTTTCGAAGAACGCACGACGCTGAAGGGAGAGAATCTTTGGGGCTGCCGAGTCACCTGGAACCAGGACCATGAATTGAACGGCCTGCATTATGCTGGCACTTGTTGTCTAAGGACTGCTTTCCCAGTATACTGCGACACCGGGATCACGAATAACTTATCTGGATGGTCTCCAATTAGCAAATGAAGTGTTCGTTGAAGCGGTGTCTGGCCTACATAAAACTTGTCGACCAATCAGGATGGACGTATCTGCACCTGGAATTTGGAGGTTTCCAACCCAGCCTGGGAAAGGTCACAGATGTTGGGACCAGTTCGACACTTCCAATCACGGCTTCTGGGACCAACATGGATTGGCAATTGGGGAGACCAATAGAAGACTAACAAATGCATAGGTTCAGCTCATTTCAGGAACGTTTGCAGCTACCTTACCACATTCCTTTGGAATCTTTGGTAAAGCACCTTACCCTGTGAGAACGACGATTTGGCGTTTCGCATCCCCATCACTCTCCTCAGAAGCATTTCATTGCTTGTACCGGCGTGACGGCGTCTTAGAGACTTGATTCGCATCTGTACGAATACTTTTCGGAGTCCAATTCTCGGTTATCAGATTCATATTCTTTAAGGATTAGACTCGGCGTGAAGGTAGGAGGATTCAATCTGGCACTGCTGAACTGCGCCGCTCACATCAGCTTTGCAGGTCTTACGATCCAAAAATAGCGACTTACTTCGTTGTGCTTTCGGTACTCGATTCTCTGACGGTACGTTCTGCAATTTCGCCCTGATGTTGCCACTCGCTGCCTTGTGTGACTGGTTTACCCAAGCACGTGGACCTGTCTCGCAAACCTTGTCTTTTTTATGAACGGTCTTGATGGTTATCGATGTGTCCTTTTGGGACCGAGATTTGAAGAGAGAAAAAATCCATAGCTTGTTGGTGCTTGTTGTTTGGTTGAGGAGGCAGGAGCCGCATGGGCAAGGCACTGTTGCCTGAACTTCAACCTTCAACCTTTAACCTTCACCTTCCCACATGCAGGCGCTCCACATCGCAATAATTTCTTGACCTTGCATCAACCTTTCGCTTCTTCACGCTCCTTCGAGCCTCGCGACAGCGTCGCTAATATTTGCTGATAGCTCTTCTACGACTTTTTTACGACGTGTACGAGTTTACTACCCACGGTAAGTTGCTTTATCGCCATGATTTTCCTCCCAAAAACCACCCGCCTTTGGACGATCAGCCTCATGAAGGTCGTTGAAGCGGTCATTGAATGCGCCTCGGTAGCCTACCCACCGCTCGGCCACGAACCACTCGGGCCATTGTTCAGTTTGCGGAGCTAGAGTTCACGAGATAGAACCCAAAGGATCCACCTGGTTCATGTGCCTTGGACCTCTGATTCACTCTTCCAAGCCCTGGAATCCTTCTTCGGAATAATACTGGCCAAACCTTGAGCTTTCGTCCCTGTTTATTCGGCTCGGCGCTTCTGATTCGCTGTGGATTGTATTTTTTGCTGCGGGCTGATCGAGGCGGCATCCTCACTTCCCCCCACATTATATGCATTTCTTTTTTGTCACGGCACAACTTTCATCTCTCCCAGTGCCCTCGCATTGGGTCTCGCTCAATACTTTTGCTGACTCACGAATAGTCTTCTTTTATTGTTGCTCTGCTCTGTAAAGCCCTGCAACATCTTGCTTTTTCCTCGAACATATAAAGCTCGTGCTTGGTTCTCGACTCTGGTACGGTCTCCCCACATTCTCCCCACCCTTCTTCCTCCTCTTTTGCGAATTTGCACTTGGTTATATTTCCTTCGCTGGTACTCGTTCATATTTACCCATGGTGTTAACTCCTCGAAAGCGCATTATGGATTTCGCCAGTGTCCCCCCCAACAACGCAGCTCCTGCTGGCCCAATGTCTTTCTCCAACGGTACTCCTCCCGCTCCTGATATGAGCTCTGCCCCCCCTCCTGGTTCTGGCCCTGATTCTCCCAAGACCACTCTCTGGTAAGTAGTAGCTGGCTGTCATGGTACAAGCGAGTGCTGACTATTGTAGGATGGGAGAGCTCGAGCCCTGGATGGATGAGAACTTCATCAAGGGTGTCTTTATGTCTGCCGCCCATGAAACTGTCAACGTTAAGGTCATCCGTGACAAGAACTCTGGTAACGCGGGCTACTGCTTTGTTGAATTCCAGTCCCCTGAGTCCGCTACCAGTGCCCTCGGCATGAACGGAAAGCAAGTTCCTAACAGCCAGCGCACCTTCAAGCTAAACTGGGCTTCTGGTGGTGGTCTCGTTGACCGACGGTATGTGCTCTCCCCAAACGTTTGGGGGAATTATTAGTAACATGCTCCAGGGACGATCGTGGCCCCGAGTACAGCATTTTCGTTGGCGACCTTGGCCCCGAGGTCAACGAGTACGTCCTGGTTTCTCTCTTCCAGGCTCGATTCCCTTCTTGCAAGTCTGCCAAGATCATGACCGACGCCATGTCCGGCCAGAGCCGTGGCTATGGTTTCGTTCGCTTCTCCGACGAGAACGATCAGCAGCGTGCTCTTGTTGAGATGCAGGGTGTCTACTGCGGCAACCGACCCATGCGTATCTCTACTGCTACGCCCAAGAATCGTGGCAACCACGGCTTCGGTGGTCAAGGTCACCACAACGGCGGTCCCATGATGGGCGGTATGCCTCAGCAGCAGATGTGGAATGGAGGTGGTATGCAGGGCTTCGGATATGGTGGTTTTAACCCTGCCACTCAGATGAACCAGTTCACTGACCCCAACAACACCACTGTCTTTGTTGGTGGCCTTTCTGGCTACGTCACCGAGGATGAGCTCCGATCCTTCTTCCAGGGCTTTGGCGAGATAACTTACGTCAAGATCCCTCCTGGCAAGGGCTGCGGCTTTGTTCAGTTCGTCCACCGCCACGCTGCCGAGATGGCCATCAACCAGATGCAGGGCTACCCCATTGGTAACTCGCGCGTGCGTCTCAGCTGGGGACGTTCTCAAAACAACTCTGGCGTTGGTACTCCCTACCGCCCCGCCCCTCCTCCCCCTCACTACATGGGCATGCCCAGCCACGGCGGACCTGGCAACTATGGCCCCCAGCACTTTGGCGGCCCTGCTCCCGGTCCTCAAGGACCTCCTGGCCCTCCTGGACCCCCCGGACCTGGCGGACCTCCCCAGGTAAGCGTGACTCATCCGAATGACCTCTATGTACTGACATGTTTAGGAGTTCTAACTCCATTTGCAGTAATTTGACCACGAACTCGTTGACGAAGGGGCTTCTATACGACCAATCCCCGGCACTTATATTTCCTTGGGCTCAGTTATCTTGCCTTATCATGAGCTATCGCGTAGCAGTTGTATCTGCTTTTCGGCAGTTTACGAGTGATACCCAACCTTGATTTCGATTTGGGATCATGACTTTAAGTTTTATGGCAGCTCAGGATTTCAACACGACACCACGCTCACTCCATTTCCTTGGGTCTGAATCATGATTGGCGTTGGAGATCTTTGGTCCCCCGGTGGATTGTCATCAATTCAATTCATTTAAGCTACTTGCCTGTACCCTCTGCGTTTACTTTAGTCACTCACTGCTTTTTCCTTTTTGCTTTTGACTGTATGTCACTGTCTTTAGCCATGGATATGTTCAAGTCGCTTTAGCGTGATGATCACACGTCGTCGTCTTTGCAAAGCTAGCTACGCCCACTGTTTCCTTCCAAATCTTTTCTCGTAGTCAGACCAAGGCCTTTTTACTTGGTGGGATTTGGGTTCGCGCATTTCATTGGCTTCTTATAGGAGGACTGGCTGCACAGCGACTCTGTTTGGCATCGCCCTATGGTTCATCCGAGCATCGGAGCTTGCTCGGCGCGTAAGTTTCACGGTTTAGCACGGTATACCTGGTGTGCTTGGAGGGAATCTGGGGTGCAAAAAAAAGAGTGGTTAGGAAAAGAATGGTCTTGGCTATGAGTGTTGTTTCTGATGAGGCGATGGGGAGTTTGGCCCGCGGTTTTGGGAGTCAGTATTATGCGAAACAGACCGAACATTGAACTGATGAAGGCAAACCAAACTGACTCGCGTGACCATGGCATGTCAACACGACACGTATGAATCCCCTCTTCTGACAGCTCAGCTCCAGCACAGCACAACAGACTAGCTTCACATCTCCGCCTCTGAGGACCTCCACATAATGGAGAGGCTGACGTAATTTTAAAGCCAAGATATTTAGGGTTCGAGTCTGATAGCTGCTGTCATTGGGCGTAGAAGCCGTGGAAGCTCCTCGTATGTAGCTAGTGCTGTGTTTAAGCTGCAGCATGATATCTTTCATGACCTTTGAGTGGAACTTTATTTCCAAGTACTTTAAGCCCAGCACCTCCTCTTTCAAACTTTACCTAGAGATTATCCCCTCATTTTAGAATCTTATCAAATATTGACGATACCATCATAACAATCATGTCTTCTATTGATCTGAGTGCTTTCCCCGCAGCAGCTCCTGCAGCTCCATCCTCTGAGATTCGCTACGCAGATGTAAGTCCGATACCCTGAAGCTATACATGTCTGACAATCTAGGTCGCTGTTACAGCTACCGCGAAAGAGTTCAAGGGTATATACCGCGAAGATAAGCAATACCACGAACCGGACTTTATCAACACCCTAGACCGTGCCAAAGATGCTGGCGTCAGTAAAGTTATGCTGACGGGCATGTCACTCGCCGACGTGTCTCACAACGAAAGTATCGTCAAGCTTCGCCCCTCGCAGTGTTACTATACAATCGGCGTACATCCATATCATGCTTCCGAGCTTGACGCCGGTGGAAAGTCATACCTTGATGAACTGGAGCAGAAAGTCAACAGCGCACTTGCACAGGATACGCCACATATCGCTGCCTTTGGTGAATTAGGTCTTGACTATGATAGAGAGCAACACGCTTCGAAGGATGTTCAGAAGAAAGCTTTCAAAGCGCAATTGGACTTGTTTGTCAAGAATAGCTGGGATCTCCCACTGTTTTTACACTGCCGCAATGCCTTTGACGATTTCGTCGAGATGATTACACCATACATTGAGAAACTCCCGCGCGGGGGTTTAGTACACAGCTTCGTCGGGAGCACAAGCCAGATGGAGAAGCTTGTATCCTTAGGTCTAGGCATCAGCGTCAACGGGTTCAGCTTCCAGAGCACAGAGAGTCTGGAGATGGTATCCAAGATACCGCTCGACGCACTGCAGCTGGAGACGGATGCGCCGTGGGGAGAATTGAAGGGCGATGTGGTGAAGCGGTACTGTGAGAATGCGAGACCGTTGCCGGCGTCGAAGAAGAGGGATAAGTGGGATGCTAAGTGCTTGGTTAAGGAGAGGAATGAGAGTTGTTATATGGAGCGTGTGGCGCTTGTTGTAGCGGGATTGAAGGGTATTGGTGTTGATGAGGTTGCGGAAGCGGCGTGGAGGAACAGTGTGAGGATGTTTGGACTTGGACGAAGATAGAGACTATGGAATGGGAATCTAAGTAAAGAATAAAGTGTTCACAAAGTCTTGCGATAAGGAAGTCAGCATCTGTAAGAGACCTGTGAAGAGATTGGGGTGACAGAAGAGCCATCGAGGCCGGTACTTTTGAGCAATTGACTACTTCCCAAAGGCACTTTAGTGATTTATGTGTATTAAATCTACCTAGTAGCAGTTAAAAAATGAATTTGTTTAATCTCTGTAGTATCAGACTTGTTGTTCTGTTCAATGGATGGGCGTTATAGCCTCTGCAGCCTCCAAACAGCCCGCGGCATCCCATCCTACCAAGACTTTAGAAGATAGCCAAAGCATTCGGGGGCGATCCAATCAGTCCAGGCTGATTCAAAGGAGTCGAAGTAATCATGAACGAGTACCTCTTCTTCTCCTTACAATACCTCGCCAACTCCTTCAAATCCCACAACTCGCCAATCGACATACCAAACATGTTCAAACAATACATATGAAGCACTACACCAGTTAGCAAACATCCACAGTCTTCCAAACAAGAACCACTCACCTAGATCTTTCATTCCACCGATAGAACCATCAGGTTTCAGAGGAGGATACGCTTCGAAACTATTCGAGTCCGACGCCGCAGCTGCAAAGCGCTTGTTCCACAGCCATCGAGCTGTTTCTTCACAGCCGTGAAGACCTGTTAGTTTGGCAGCGGCCATTTTACCCAGATCAGCGGGGTTCATGTTATCGACTACTTCGGTTGCGCCTGTTCTGACGATGAGAATGTCGCCGGGTTGGAACTCAACGTTCTGGTGGGCAGCACAAGCTTCAAGGTCTTCAACCGTGATGCGGTTCCCATCAAAGGCATGGAACTCGATTCCTTTTTCTTCAGCGTAAGAAGCGTAGTCAATTAGAACGCCTCGACCGGCGATGCAGCCTCGGGAGTGCCAATGGTCAAGGGTTGGCATTTTGTTTGACTCGGTTGAGTCAATTGATAAGGCTTCTTTATCGGGATTCGCGCCATTGTAAGCCAGACCTGAATCCTGGTGTTGGAAATGGCACAGACTATCCCATTGACTACTACACTGCGTGTTGAATGATAATTCATCGTCCCAAGACTTGCCCTGTTCGAATGGAAGCGCTGCCATACTCTCGGGTATGTAGAGGATCTTGTGCTGAGCAGCGAGTCGTCCTGGGATGTTGAGCTTGTTCATGGCATTGAGCGGCCAGCTATCAAACGTCAGTATCTAACAATGAGTGCTTTCGGGAGATGTACTTGAGAGATATAGAGACTCCATCTTTGACCTCGAGAGCTGCATTCCGAACAACTTCTGGAGTCAGGAAGTTCAGCGTTCCGACCTGGTCCTTCTTCCCATCACGGTCAAAAACACCCCAGGCACAGCCCTTGGGCATGCCTTCAACCGGAGGAAGGTCATCAAAGTCGGGAACAGAGTCCATATCGAAGGGCATTGTCGTTGCTGGGAAGTGAAGGGATGGTGAATTGAAGCGGTGAAGTTGGGGATGTCGCATGCTTTATACCACGTCGCAAACCAACCCCAATTCTAGACACTGCATGCGATTAGACTGAATTGGGATCAAGAATCCTGCTGCCTGCGCATTGAAGCTGTATCATGTCGTTTTCGCAAATGAGTACCCACTGGCTATTGTCAGCCACTTCTCCAGGGTATGTAGGCAGCCATTTAAGAGTGAAACTATTCCCAGATTTGTGCCGAGGGGTGAGAAAAAGGAATGCGCAGTGGGAATAATAGGAGATTTTTATGCATGCAAGGATATGGGAGCAATCATGTGGAAGGATATTAGATAGTAAAACATGCTATTATTATGTCGGTTTCTGGTCATGTCCTCCTGCAATTGAGGAAGCAAGTTCAAGTCAAGTTTGACACTTTACTATGAGGTACTTTACCAGTTCATTCGACCAAGTTCCTAGCGTTTCACCCTCTCCAACTTCGCTGAAAGTCTTTCTAGGAGCATAAAGAATGTCTGCTTTTCTATCGCCCGCGCAAACAGAACGGCACCCAACAGTCCCTGCAATGCCACCCAGTTAAGCCCCCATAATCCAACATCAAATACACCCATCACTCTTGCTCTAGGACCTGCCCATGACCAATGATATAGGGCTCGTATAAGGTGCCGCGGATGTGTCTTTGTGAGAGAAAGAACCGAAGGCGGATTCGAGGGAAATATCACGCCTGGCCCGTTCCAAAGCTCAGGTGCTTTTGTTCAAGGCCGATTAAGAAAAGAGCAGCAGTAGTAAAAGCAATATGACACATAAGTGATTAAAAGAACTGAAACGTCATGGAAAAGAAGTACCATTAGGTCTTGAAGCCGCTGTGTATAGTGCGAGTTGCTTGTTTATCAATCTTGTATCGGAGCGCACTGCCTGTAAGTCAAGATTGACACCATACCGACTACGCATCCCCCCCCGAAAGTGCAATGGCAGAAGAAGTGATAAAAAGTCAACACCGCTCTGATTACTCGTAAAGGGCTGAAACCGCGGACCGGCGATATCCAAAAGCCCTTCTCGATATTGGAATTTCGGATCCAGTGCAGGCACGAATACGAAACACCAGTATTTAGAACATATGAGAGAGCTCCGAAAACATAGGAAAGTCTAGAATCTATAAACAGAATCTGACACAATAGCCGATGCCTCAAATAGCCAACGTCGTTAGCGACCTGCACACCTGCAGGGACACCCGCAACTCAATGGCTCGGTTCAAGTCAAACAAGGTAATTCACGAGAACCCGATTGGTGCAGATAAGTTTCCATCTATCTACCTAGATCAGATCAGATCGTTATCTTGAGCGATTAATCCCCCGTAATAAACTGGAACGGGTGACGGTGAGTGGCAGTTGATAGTCTTCGCATTCGGATCGGGAGTTCGTATTCGTACTCTGTTTCAAACACTCAACTGAAGGATGGATCATAACAGCAGCGTACACAGCTCTTGTTCGTTTTCGCAAAAGGATTGTATCATAGTTGTAGGAGTCAATATGTAGAGCTTGGTGAAAGTATAGAGTCGGGAAGGAATCCGAAATATCAAAGGACCAGCCTCCTTAGCATACAGCTTTGGAGTTTTCAGATTTCTATTTAAACTAGAACGATTCTCTTCCAACGAACATCAGACCACTCCAAGTTCATCACTCTTCAGCTATATCTCTTCTCTCAAAACTTATACTCTGAATCTCTCGAAACTCCAAAATGTCTTCCTCAGAACTGATCTCCTACGACGAGGCCCAGAACTCAGCCTTCGACAATGTCCTCCATCGAAAATCAAAAGAGTCAAAGGGCGGAATGCGAGCCATGATCAACAAAGACAACAAAGCACATGCCGCAGCTGTCGATGAATACTTTCAGTTCTGGGATAACAAGAAAGCTGAAGATGAAGTTGAGGCTGTACGACAGGAGAGAACTGATAACTATGCCAGTTTGACAAGACAGTAAGTTCCCCTGACTCTTGTATTTTCCTCTTACTAACCTTGGGGAAATAGGTATTATAACCTCGCAACCGATCTCTACGAGTACGGATGGTCTCAGTCTTTTCATTTCTGCCGTTTTGCATATGGCGAAGATTTCAACCGCGCTATTGCTCGACATGAACATTATCTCGCTCATAACATCGGTATCAGGCCTGGTATGAAAGTCCTGGATGTTGGATGTGGTGTTGGTGGACCTGCTCGTGAAATTGTCAAGTTTACTGGTGCTCATGTAACTGGGTTGAACCTCAACGAGTATCAAGTCCAACGAGCGACTATCTATGCTGAGAAAGAGGGTCTTTCTGATAAGCTTAAGTTTGTCCAGGGAGACTTTATGGTAAGCTGATTATGAGCGAGTTCGCAGAGATATACTAATGTGCGGTAGAAAATCCCCTTTCCAGATAACTCTTTCGACGCCGTCTATGCTATCGAAGCAACCGTCCACGCACCCTCCTTAGAAGGCGTCTACAGCGAAATCCGGCGAGTCCTCAAACCCGGCGGTATATTCGGCGTCTACGAATGGCTCATGACAGATACCTACAACAACGACGATCTAGAACAGCGCCGTATCCGTCTAGACATTGAGCAAGGCGACGGTATCGCGCAGATGTTCAAGATCGACCACGGTCTATCAGCCATTCAAGCCGCTGGTTTTGACCTCCTCCACCATGAGGATCTCGCAGCTACAGATGACGGAACAGCACCGTGGTACTGGCCTTTGGACAGTAACATGCGATATGCGCAGACTATCGGTGATTTCTTTACGGTTTTGAGGATGAATAAGTGGGGGAGACTTGTGATGCATAATGTGATTGGAGCGTTGGAGGCGTGTTGGATTGCGCCGAGGGGCACGAGGAAGACGGCGGATAGTCTTGGCCAGGCTGCGGATGCGTTGGTTGAGGGTGGGAAGAGAAAGTTGTTTACGCCGATGTATTTGATGGTTGGGAGAAAGGCGGAGGAGTCTAAGTGAGGTGAATTGGGAATATTGGATGCTTGATAGGGTGGGACGGAGAGCATGGAGGAGTATTTGATAGTGGAAGACTATTGAGAGGGGCGGTATACCCGTGGAGATGATAGATCAAGAATCGATACTAGCCTGTGCAGGCAACTAAAATGTTTCATTATTAATCGCAATTATTACTTTCGCCTCCTTATGCATTGCAGAATCTCGATGCTTATAAGCTTGGGGTCGCATCCACTCTGTAAGCGATAGGGCTGGCCGCATCATACCTCGAGGGCAATGAGCAAACACAGCTGGCCCGGTCAACCCTGTAAAGCCATAAGCGGACTCAATATCAGTCATAAATATGTAATCCCCGATATTTGCCCATCATAACCTCCAGGTCTCATGTTATTAAAGCCCCCACGTGTTGAAAGCTTAGGCGTCTAAAGTTAGCTTATCGATAAGGCTTAGATCTCCAACGGCCGCTCCCAAATATCCACTGCCGATAATCTCACCAAGCCTCCGAGACCGCGCGTCAATGACCAATTACCACGGGAAAAGCAACTCCCGGGTGGAAACACTCATCCTATGGCCCTGCGAATAGAATATTGTATTGATTTACGAAGGCGCAGCTTGTTCGGAAGATGAGGAATCCGAGCTGTGATGATTTTATTTTTACTGCCGTACCCGTACGCGCGCTGAAATCTCGGGATAGCTCAGCGGGATCTGGGGGGGCTGGGGCCGATGTGGGACAGGGCTGAAATACGATTGTTTCAAAATGGGGAGCTTTATTCTCAAGATTTTGCGATAAAAAGCGCTAAAAAGATGGGATCAAAAAGTCAAGGCTTGGTATTGTAGATGATTACGACATTACTCTCTGGGCATTGAAGCTCACAGCTTGTTTAGGAGCAAGTGATCATCAACGCCCAGCAAATGGAAGCGGCCGTCTCACGTCATCATCATAGTCGTGGCGGTATAGCTTAGACCCCCAGACCCGACCCTTCGATCACTCATCAGTGGCTGGTCGCCCCCTGCTTCCTCTCTGCAAGCCCTTTTTTTAATCCCCGTGGTTCCCCCCCTCTTATTCATTTTCCCTCCCCTCTCTGCTCTGTTTTGCGAGTTTAGCTGGAACAACGGCGAAACAATTCCAGCGATAAGAGCATTTAGCGAAACGAAGCTGCTACGAGATATATGAAAATTTACAGAGATACGATATTTTACGATTAACAAGGACGATAAGGCGATAAGATTGCTATCTTTTGAGTGGTTGGCTATCTGGAGCTCGATCGATATCGTGGCGTACCTTGCAGCTGAAACACCAACAAACCCGATACGAGACCCGAGATCTATCAAGCCACGATGTTGAAAAAGAAGGAAACCCTCACCATCATCACGCCCATCCCGGGCTTCATCCCGCGACAGCTCGCTATCGATCTTCTTCACTCCCACGGCGAGATCATCACCCTCAACCCCCTCGTCCTGTCGCACAAGCCCATTCCCGCTCCTCGCCATGCCGCCGCCGACGAGTACTACAGCACCTGGTACGAGATCACAGAGCGCATCCAGTACATCCCCGGCCTGGGAAAGATAGGTTCCGGAAAGCTCACGTTTAACGGATGTTTTCATGATATGCCATGGGGTATGCAGTCGCATATTTATATCCCGCTTGGTATCGACATGAGGAACAAGTACCGCATTATGGGGAACCAGCCGGGCATCGAACCACCGGAGCAGCCTGAACTTGGACTTGAACAGCTTGGTGCGCCGAAGGAGGGGCTTTATCTTCGCACTGATGTTGAGCTCAAGTGTAACATTACTCTGATGGGTTTTGTGAAAGCGGAGTCGAGAAAGGCTAGCGTTGATATGGTTAACCGTATGGTGAAGAAGGCGGAGTTGCTCGATGCTGGTCTTTTGAAGGCCATGTTTGAGGATGGAAAGCTCAAGACTTATAACCCTAATGATCGATCGGAGGCGAGTCAGGCGAGACAACAGGCGCTGAGACAGCAGACTATGCCGGAGGGTCAGTTCGCTGGTGCTGCTCCTCCTGGACCTGGACCTATGAGCCCAGGTCCTTCTTACACTCAGCCCTACGCGTATGCTCAGCAACAACAACCTCATCTCCAACCCCAACCTTCACCAACATACCCTTACGCCCGTCCCGACGCCTCCAACTCCCAATACCCGCAAAGCCCATACGGCTACCACCCAGGCCAAACACCTCCCCCCAACGCCCAATACCAACAACAAGCACCGCCCGTGCCGCCAAAAACCAACATCCAGAGCTTCCCGATGGAACTCCCCGGCGACTACTACCACCCACAGCAATCACCAAATCTCCAACAGCAGCCCAGTCCTGGACATCCACCCAGCAACTACCGCAATTCTACGGGGTCTTATGATCCGCGATGGTCGCAGTCTAGTCCGTCGGCTGCTGATTCGCATCGCGCGAGTATGTACTCGCAGCACTCGGCGGGATATCCGTCGCCGGCGCCTGCGCAGCAGAGTTTTGCGGCGGAGTTACCGTCGCATAATGAGACGTCGGAGGAGCATAGACATTGAGGGGTGGAAAAAGTAAAGTAGCCGGTCATTTTAGTGATGATACATGGGATGGCGTTTTGATTGGGATGGATACCTTTTGCTAGTGAGAGTCAACAATGAGTGGTAGAGAATATTGGAGAGAACAGAGTTGTGTATTTCAGTCCGTTGATGCTGAGGGTGTAGATGATACCCTTTTGGATGATAAGAGGAATTGCGATTGACACGATGGCTTGCGTGAGGTTGAGAGTAAGAAGTCCCATCGCAAATGGCTCTTCCATGTGACGAAGACACCAAGTGAACGAGATTCGACCCATAATTATGATATCAAATCATTACTCAGGTTCTAGTTCAATATTCTCGGATAGTTTTGCGAAATCCGGCATTCGGGTCGTTGCCGGCGAGATAATTCTCAGCCCTACGGACGGAGTTCACCACTGCGGACTTTGGTGGAGTCGGGATTCAACAACATTCTTCGGCGACTTTGCAAATCAGAACCAGGGGATTGAGAATGAATTTGTCAGAGATAATGAAACGTAGAAATAGTAGATTTGTAATAGGAATTGATGGATCGCAGGGGAGACTCGAGATGTTGATATAAGGCAACACGTAGCCCAACGAGAGACAATGATCAATACTCAGAGCTTTCTCCTACTACCAATCCAACAAATTCCCCGGAATATCTTCAGAATATATTTCGATCTCAAATGCCTCCTCTAAGACAGCCCAAAGTCGAGCCTTTACCGCCCGGTATCGACCTCACCAACAAAACAGCCATCGTCACAGGCGCAACAGCCGGCATCGGCATGGAACTATCCCGCCAACTCCTCGATCTTAATCTATCAACCCTGATCCTCGCGGTTCGAAATGTCTACAAAGGCGAAGAAGTCCGCAAGACACTTTCGGCTATCAATTCCAAAGCTGTCGTCCAAGTGATGAAGCTTGACACTGCCGACTACGCCAGTGTGAAAGCCTTCGCTGAGACGTTTAAGAGCAAGCATGGGAAACTTCACCTACTCATGCTGAACGCTGGGATAAGTGATATCACTTTTGGACTTGCGCCTACGGGGCATGAGAAGAACTTTCAGGTTAATTACCTGTCTAATGTTCTGTTGACTTTGCTTCTTCTGCCTACCCTTGAACATACAGCTGAGCTTGAGGGAGCACCTACGCGCATTACATGGACAGGAAGTCGTATGCATTTGCAAACAAGCCTCGGCAGCAAAGTCCCCCTCAAGAAAGACGAAGGCATATTCGAACACTTTGACGCACCGGGTGTGATCCCTCCCCTGGCCCGCTACGGCGACACAAAGCTCCTCGTTCTTCTCTTCCAACACGAACTCGCCTCTCGCTACCCTCCCAAGAAAGTTATAATCAACCACTTCTGCCCCGGTATGGTCGATACATCTCTAGCAGATATTCTTCCTGTTTATATCCGCCTTCCGGCGCTGATGCTTAAGGCTCTGCGTGCGAGATCGGTTGACAAGGCTGGATGGATCGGATTACATGCTGCGCTTGTGGTGGGCGATGAAACACATGGGAAGTTGTTGGGGGACAAGGAGATTGCGGATTTGGGTGATTTTGTACCGTCGGAGGAGGGGATGAGGATTAGGAAGTTGTTGTGGGAGGAGACTGTTGGGGAGATGAGGGGGTTGACCCAGGTGCCTTCATGGATGGAGTGATCTGCACTTTGCATTTACCCCCCTTGCAGGACCATCGCATCTTTCACTTGGCGTGCGCATTTCTGTTATAAAGAGTGTTAACTTGGTGTATGTAAGTAGATATGCTGAAAGAGAATGTTTGTTGATGATAATCACGAGAGGACGATGGTTCTTAGGGAGCAAGAAAACACGAGACCTAATTTTGGGGTGATAAAATACACTCTTTAGAAGGTATCCTAAACTTATCCTACCTACCTTAGTAGGTAAATTTATATTAAGTTACCTAAGTCTTTTTATCAGAAAGGCTTAAGGTCCTGGGTTTTGGTTCCTCCCCTGAGCCTCCCCTGAGCACCCAATACCACCCTAGTCGCAGTAGCTACCTACTTCCTATCTATTTCACAGTTTCGCTGACGAATCTCGGAAAGAGGTAATCTCGAAATGCTTGGGCTGCTAAGACTGGTGGTAGGCAAGGGCAAGATAGGCATTCTTTCCACTGCTTGATCTTCTGTAAACTACCTACTTGTCCGCGTGCATCAAGCCAAACTTCCTTCATCATCATCATTCACTTCTAGGCACAATACAAAATGTCCAACAACGCAGAATCGAATAACATCGATAATTCCTTACGCTTACACAGCGTCTCCTTGGACAGCATCAAGCCAGACCCTGCCAAATTTCACAGGCATCGCCTCGGCCGACGCGGCGTAGTCTACTGCTGGACCGACGACGACAAAGAAGAGTTTCAAACGAGACTTATGCGACGACATCCAGACCCGGTAAGACTTCCCTAAACATAGACTAAATGGCACAAGTCTTTTCATCATTTAGGGTCAAATTTTACCCTAGTTTTCTTGCCTTCCCCTGGGGCGGGGCAATGTCATGTTAGAGAGCAACTGGACTAACAGTCACAGGCCGATAGCGTCCTTGATCCCATCACCATCCACAAAGAATCCCACTACCAAGAGCCTCCCTACATTCCAGGAGAGTATAGAAGGGTTCCATTCTTGCAAAAGCACCCCGCTCACCCGTTTGCGGTCGTATTACAGGCCATGAAAGCTTCAACTCCGAACTGGAGATGTGATGATGTCGACATCATGGTCCAAAGCGATCTTCTAAACTTGATCTTCTCGTGGATGCGGGGTGATGACACCTCGAGCCTTACGATTGATGCGTGGCTGGTCAAAAATACGCTCTTCCTTACACTCTTTGCGGGCGAGAAATCATCCCCCGGCAATGAGGAAGATGAACCATTAGATACTACCTTCATGCCGTCGCCTACTAGCGTCGGACAACATCATATCATAAGTTACCCATTCGGAGGCCTCAAATTACTCGTCACCACGCCCGGCCATCTTATCCACTCCGCCCACTGGGAAGGCGAAGCACGCTTCACCCGAATACTGCCGACCAAGGATGGGGAGCCTGATTGGGATCAGGTCCTCCCACTGTTATGGTTCAGCGTAACACACACGGGTGTATCTGGCTCTATCTCCGACGGAGTCTTCAAAGAAGAGAGACAGTGGCATGTAAGCTCGAAGATAATACTATGGAGGCAGCAGGCCGATACGAGAAAGTATATGAGGATGATGGTCTGGCTCCTCCGGCACATACAGATAATCACTATGGGGCGGCTGACCAAGTCATGTTCGATTCGCTTTGAGGGCAGTGGCAGTGACAAAAAGATACAGATCAATTCTGTGTCGTGGGTACACCATTTGCCTATTTTATTTGGGGAGTTGTGGGAGGAGCCATAGCGATTTCAAGAACAGTGATCAATGAGACTTTGCATCCATAGTTATTGTGACTTTGTTATCAATGTGACTAACATGACTCCATCTATAAAGGCACCTGGCTAGAGGAGAAAATAAAACTTAGGACCTTAAGCCTGAATAAGGAAAGATTTAAGTAATTTAATACAAGTTTAGGATACCTTTTAAGAATTTATTCTACCTTTCTCACTCTCACGCGGAAGCCCCGGCAAAATCGCATGACCATATAACTTCCCCGGTCGTTGGTTATACGCACCCGAGGAGAATCGTCTGGCCTAGAATTCAATAGTCTAATCCCGCATGGACTTTAGTTTCCAGGGTCTGGGGTCTTCAGCTGTGTTGAGGTTCACAAATTGAGTCCCTATTGGCCCGGACATAAGCGTGCATCTAATAGTCTCCTCGCTTACGGGGTTTGTTGGTGATGCTGCTGTTGGCTTGGCATTTTATGACCCTGGGGCTCGGGCCAGCGCATTCAATATTGGGATCTTTTTAGAATAGTTAGCTCAAAAGTAAAGAAAAATGATCTGATCTTTTTCAGTGTATATAAGTTGACATCATTTGGGATGAGTTTTGTTTATTTTCTGCGTATTATCCTGTTTTAGCTGGTAAAATGGTTGCATTCAAGTCCATCCTCTTTCTCCTCGCCTTTGGCACAGAGGCTCTCGGTGCAACTACCGAAGTCATCTGCGAAAGCAAATATGGCACAAAGAGTATCGCTTCGAATAAAGTCCCACGGGCTACTTTGACTGTGATGAATCAGATCACGGTTATTAAGAAGGTCATTCGAAAAGTCAACATTGTTGTCGTGCCCAGGGCAAAGACTACCACTGAGACCGAGACAGAGATTCAGGTGACTACGACATATGCTGATACGGATGCCGAGACTGCTACTGAAACTGAGACTGGTGAGTTTATGCAAGTAGAAGCGAGTGATTCAGTGGTGCTGATGGTTTAGATATACAAATCACGAATCGGGTTATGCTGCTCGCGCGAACTTCGACATCGGTAACTTCTACAACCACTACAAGGTACACCACTGCCACAATCGCCGCACCATCGGGCTTCGTCCCCATCAAAGAAGTCCAAGGCTACATCGCCAGAGTCAAAGCCCGAGGTCCCGTACCAAGAGCTACTACCGCGTATCTTCAGCGCATCGACTGCACCAAGAAGATTCCTTCCACTACGACCAAGACTATAACTACCACTGTCAAGGGAGCGAGAATTACTCTTAAGCCCAAGACTGTTACGAAAAAGACTACGAGTATCTTTGTCATCACTGTGACGGAGTATGGACCGCAGGTTACGGAGACGGAGACGGAGACTTTTACGGAGTTGAGGGTTAACCTTGCTCAGAGGACGCAGACTCAGACAATACCTGAGACTGGTGAGTACACCGGCTTACTCTGTAGTGCCATGCTAATATGTTTAGTCACCGTTGAATCAACCGTCCCGGCTGATCCCGTCTACGCCGCCTGCTCCGCCAACAACCTCGCCAGCACAGCCAACGGGGGTAAGAGAATCGCCGACTTTAGCGCTTGGAAAGAATATAGAACCATTTCTATCTCTGGCCTTAAGAGCGCTTATTCATGCTGTGTTGAATGTCAGAAGAAGCAGAACTGCTTGATGAGTCGGTCAAGTGCTGGTGGTGCAACGTGCTGGTTGTACTTGATGCCTAGTGATGATGCTTGTTCAGCGCAGGTTAACTGGTTGACGTATCGCACTGATAGTGGTGTTAGTGTGGAGTGGACTTATAGTAATGGACCTTGTGGGAGGGCTGTTAATGGGCGGGAGTCATCTTAATCATCGCGTCGGTGTTGAGCTTGGCCTCGAGGTCATATTGAAGGGGTTGTCACAGCAAGTAAGTACTTACAGTACGGAACAGAATATAAATTATATGGATAAGTAGCTAATATTAGAATGAGACCATTATATCAACTCGTCGTAACACCATAACATCCATTTGGTGTCTACTCAATCAAAACCTGCTTCTCCTTCTTCAGACTCTCAACAAAACTAATCGACACATTGAGAGTCTGGGCGACAACATCAGGAGGAGTTAAAGCAAGCCACTGAGTCAATGAGATATCCGCAACACGATCAGACTTGTAGACCTCAATCCAAATAAGATCCTCGTCTTCCGAAGTATTCTCAATGTAGTGTCTATCACATATCAGCATCATCTTCAAACACACAAACGAAGAACTTACCCAGAGTTATCAGGAAACGCAGCAGTGTCACCCGCCGAAAAGTCAAAAGTCCTCGCCGCCGCATTCCCAATAAAAACCGTCGCCCTCGCCTTACCCTGATGGAAATACAGCCACTCCTCCGCATTAGGATGCCAATGCAACTCCCTCAACCCACCCGGCTTAAGTGTAACAAAAGTTGCAGCAAGAGTCTTGGACGCAGGGAAGTTTGTGGAGTCGATCTTCCAGAAGTTACCGCCCGTGCCGCCAATCTTTTCAGGATCGTGCTGGAATGTGCGGTATACGAAGGAGCTGTTTCCTGAGAGTTTGCCGGCGGGACCGTCGGTCACGTTGTGTTTTGTTGGTGTGCCGGGGAGGATGTAGGGGTTGGGGGCTGTAACATTTTCGAAGACGGAGGCGTTGACGCCGAAGTTTTTGGCGAGGATGGATTTGGGGGTGTGGTTGATCCAGTCGTCGACCATGAAGGTTGTGCTGGCTTGTTAGTGGTGTTGTGTGATAGGTGTAGGGGTGACTTACCCGATCTTGTCAAAGTCGGCTTCGTCAAAGACTAGGAGATACTCGTTCTCATCGGCGAGACCTTGGACGGTGTGGGCTGCGCCCTTGGGAAAGTACCAGATGTCACCGTAGTTGAGGACTTCTTCCTGATAGCGCCCGAATTCATCAACGGCAGAGATGAGGACGGAGCCGTTGTATACAATACCCCATTCAGCCTGTCAAGTCAGTATAAGGTGGTTGAGACGGAAGTGTCAGACTTACGACTTTATGCCAGTGGAGTTCTCGGATAGCTCCCTTGACGAGATGCTGCTGAGCGCCAGAGATGTCATGGCTGGACGGCAGATCTTGGATGACCTGTTCGCGAACCCAACCGCCCTTTAAGAGACGAGTCTTGGAGTCGGAGAAACTCCATTTGAGATTGGGAACAACGCCGTTGTCAGTGGGTTGCTGGCCTAGGTTATCAGGGTTCTGGAGGTCAAGCTCTTTGTTTGTGCCGCCTATCACTGTGTAAGTATGTGATGAGAATAAGAGAGCATTGGGTGTTTGAGCTTACCTAGAAGAACAGCGCCTTTACCCTTTCCATCATATGGTTGGCCTTTGTCAAAGCCGGGCTGTTGAGTATCCTTTGGAGCTGCCGCAACGATGTTTGACCCAAGGCACAGAGCCAGGGCGGAAGAGAAGAGTGATGCACCCTTCATGATAGCGATCAAACTGGTACGCAAGAACGAACAAGCTGAAGAAGAGGAGTGATAAGAGGGTGAATAAAGAAGGTGGAGAGATGAGGACTTCTGTCTCACCGGCGACGTCTTATACCCTCAACACCACGCGGTCCATCACGACATCATGCATACAGCACATCCATCAAACTGGGAAATTACGAGAGGCGTAGCTGAACGGCAATCACACCCTAGGCACTTACACAAATGACACTATGATAAGTCGCGCTGTCTGAAAGAAACAATGATCGGCATAGCTGCATGAAGCTATCAAGGAAATTGCAGTACGAATTCTGGGTGTGGATGGCGTTTGCTTACCCTGAACACAACCAAGCACGTTAGTGATGATCGACACTCCGCCTGCCAAGACGGAGATAAGCGCGATGGCGAGCAAGGATTAATGTAGATCTGGGGTTGACGACATAATTAGTGGATTTAACGCCATCGATCCGCCGGGTTTTAGTGCGGCTCAACGTGGGTTTGGACGAACCAGGGCCCCACGCTATAAGCATACATTTATGGTAATTCATAGTGTTGCATTTGCCGGCTTTCGGCATGTTCCTGATTATCGCGAGTGAAGCATTACGGTAACTCGAGGCTTTTGGTATTGAGATAATTGTTCAAGATACACAAAAGGCTAAGTAGTTTAGTTGGATCTGTCTTTTCTGTAGTTTCTGGACATCGCAACTCGGAATGCCTCGCTGCGGCCCCTCGGCGTGGATGCTCGCAGCCTTACAAGGATTACACTCGCAATCCAGACTAACAAGACGTCTTCCCAGACAGTCAAAGCACCTTGAAGATCTCCCACATATCCAGCCTAGCGAGAAAACAAACGTATAAGTCATTTCCCGAAAGAGATGTTTAGTCTATTACCCCCACCGGTATTTCCAACTGCCGGGGACTCGTTTCAGGGGTAGCTGAGTGCGCCCGAGCTAATGGGCCAAGGCTGATGTTCATTGCCTTACGGATGGAGTAATTCCGCACTATGGCGTTGTGAATGCAAGGCTGTCTCAGTGGGGATGGTAAATACCACGCGATAGTGATGCCATTTGTTAGAGCTGTTGATCCAAATATCCCAGATATCTGGGATGGAACTGTGCGGGAACCTTATCCTCGGTAAGCTTGAACTCAATGGGTCTAACTAGATGTAAAACATTGCCAAACTCATTTAAACATCGCCTGTAAGCAGAGGAACAGAATCTGTACCGACTGAAGTTCTCCCTCTGATGTTCGTTGGTGCACGATGCCGTCCGTAGCTCCAGTGCTAGGTATAACTGCTCTTCGACCGAAGTAACAGAGACTCATCCATAATTGACCATGGCGACCACCCAAGCAAAGCGTGATCGAGTACATTAGTCCATGCAAGTCTCAGCTCAAGGTAACCCTGAGAGAATACAGACCTCTCAATCAAGTAATTGAGTGACGCTACTCTGCCAGATTGACAACCATCAGGGGCATCACCGACAACCCACCACTCTCATCCCACGGACGATCGGGAGGTCGGTAATTCAGTCCCCAAAGTCCGACAGGACGGTCCAGAAACTTTTGGTTAGATCTGTGCAGATCAGTCCTATAGTCACCGGGTAGTTCACTTCCGCTGCGCTTTTGTATGTCCTCCTTGCCAGCACATCAACCAAGCTAGACGAGAGCAGTCAAGACTGAGGAGGAAAACGTCCTGAGAAGGAAATTGTGATAGCCGTGGCAGAAGAAAACTCATCATGAGGTTCGATTGTGTCTTTGTGAGGCTTGATGATACAATTTTCGAGAGTGATGTCGATGAGGGAGATGGACAGCTGGAATCAGGAGATCAATGAGAGGAATAGAAGAGAACAAGAAAGAGTTGTGAAGGAGAGAGAATCTGGGTATATAACACCCTAGAAACTCCCTCAAACTTTCTCATCATCGCTCACATCATCAACTTGCTCACTTCCCACAATCCACTGAGCTCCTTTACAATGCCCTCTCTCATCTCCATCACGGCCCTTCTAGGTGCCCTTGCCTCCCAGGTCTCAGCATCACCCGCCAACATCGCCAAAAGAGGTCTCAGTCTCCCTCCTCTGATCCCCAAGATCCCAGGAGTGACTGAGCCTCTTGCTGACAACGCTCCCCCCCTGCCTATTCTCCAACTCCCTACTCCTCCGTTGGACAGCCCCCCTTTCAAGGTCTCCAACATCAAGCCCAAGAAGATTGGATACTTCTGGACTGGTGCTGGTGATAACAAGCATGCTGATTTCTTGGTCACTGCTAGTCTTGATGATGTGAGTTTGCTGAGTCTACGATGGGAAGGGAGTGTGCTAACAGACTAGGACACCTTTGGTGAAATCATTGACATCACTGATGTCAACACCAGTGGTAACTCACCTCACCATCTAGGCAGCTCGCTTGATGGCAAGACCCTCGTTGGAGGCGGTCTTCTCTCTCTTCTCAAGACCCAAGACACAGCCTTCTACTTCGATACTTCGGACCCATACCATCCCAAGTTCGACCACAGCAACCGTGGTATTCTCGGCTCCATCGTCGATGAGATCCGCGCCAAGCCCGATGGTGGTTTCTTTATCACCTACATGGGCAGTGCCGTCGGTACATCTCCCGGTCGTTTGATCGAGACTGATGCCAACGGTAACATCATCCATGAGTGGCCTGAGGATGTTGAGGGTACACTCAACATTCTTGGGGAGCAGTTCTCTCCTCATGGATTGAGTGTGGATTTTGACAAGAACATTATTCTTACTTCCGACTTTGTTGTTCCGATTACGATTCTGAAGCCTACTCTTGGTATCAAGAAGGCTGATACTCTTCGCCTTTGGGATCTCAAGTCTCGCAAGATCATCTCTACTATTACTATTCCTAACGTGAGTTGCTCGAGTCAAGATGAGAATGTAGCTAACAGCCACAGGGCCAAGGTATTCAAGACGTCAAGTTCATTCCCGGTAACAAGGAGAGTGCAGCTCTCGCTACGTAAGTCTCAACGCTCAACGCTCTTCACCGAATACTAACTCACGTCGATAGTGCTGTTGGCCCCGGCCAAGTCTGGATCATCTACCCCTTCCGCAAAGACTCCAAGGGCAACCAAGGTATCGCCGAACTCCTCTATGATCTCGGCGACAAAGCCAAGGACTCCCTCGCCATCTACTCCGACATCACCGACGACGGAAAATTCGCCTACTTCACCATCACGCTCGGCAACCACATCGCCGCTCTTGACATCTCTGACCTCGACAACGTCAAGCGTCTTGATGACCCCGATGAGGAACAGCCCATCATTGGACCTCACTATGTCAAGATCTCTCCTGATAAGAAGAACCTCCTCGTCACTGGCTACTTCGTCCAAGCTGGAGATGTAAGTCGTCATTACTGTACTTTTGATGGGTTTGTGCTAATTTTT